AGGAACTGCCCCTGAAGGGTTTTCACTGCTGTGCTTGTAGATCTCCTGAGCCTTGCAGCTCCCTCCATCAGTCAAGCCAGACTTTAGTCAATGGTCGATTCTTTCTGTGGCTTTGTACATTTGCTTTTCTGTCTGTGCCCCAAGCATCTTTTTCTGTAATAGCCCTTTAAGTGGTCTCCCTGTCTCACCTCAGGTCTCCTCTAACACCATTTACATAGCTTGTGGTTACAAAGGTCCTTCTGGGCATGAGTTTGGCTTATGGATTTAAAAGTCCACATCTGTAAATGTATGGTTTTCAATGTATATATTTATAAGTAGTCTGTAATAGTAACTCTCTTCTAGTTTAAGAGTTATTTATTTAAATAAGTTTTCATTTAAAAGCATACTATATTAGCCCCTGTATCTTGCAAAATCCTCATAATATTAGCATCTCTCAGAGAAGTACTTCACATGAGCTTAAATAACCCAGTCACACCAGGGGAGGGCCCTCCATTTTACTCATTATTCTTTCTTAAATAAACCCAAATTATATCCAGAGATCTGACAATTGCCTGAAGGAACTTTTCTGTTGACACAATGGTCAGGCCATTGTCAAGGGTGTCACTTTTCTATGTACTAAGTTTTCCACATGCAAGGATGATGTTGTTGTCTTTCCTGAGCTGGATCTACAGGCCCTCAAATTAGCTTACATAATCCTAAATCTAAAGCCACCCTTCCCCGCATTCCAAGTCTCCTAGGTCAGGAGGCATCTCTGTCTGGGTACCATTCTTCCCAGCTTCTCAAGAGAGCAACACAGCTCAGTGCACAGCTCAGTGGGGAAAGGGCTTGCCATACAAACTTGACCCAAGTTTGATCCCCAGAACCTATGATGGAAGGAGAAAAATGACTTCTGAAAGTCTTCCTCTGATCTCCACATGCACACTAAGGCACACACCATGACACACAATAGCACTCACACATATACATCTCTCACAGCAACAACAACGATATAAAGAAAAAATTCTCAATGGTTCATCTTCCTGCCCAAACACTCACCAAAATGCTGAACTCTTCCCAGCTTTCTTGAAGGTAACACACACTAAATTGAGGAAGTACCTCTGATTCTGTCATCCCCTACACCCTCCCCCGGTGAAAGTCTACAGAAACACAGCTTTGACTCAACTATTTCACGGTCAAAGGGCATATTTATCTTCTCATGTTAAAATAATCATCTTAATTTCAGATGTGTGGTTTCCAAAACAATTTACCTCTGCTGGAGTAAGGAAATAAACAAAGAAAAAGGACAATATGGAATCCAGGAAACAGAAGATGCAATGCAGGACAGAGATGAAGGGATGGTGGAAAGAAATTCCAGAGCAACATCTGTACAGCAGACAGGAGAACCACCAGTCCAGACTGGAGCCACAGGACAGAGAAACCTGGGAGAGTTGCCCCCAGGAGGACAGACATACAGCAATAACAATGATGAGTTTCCTCATACACTTGGTCATGTGGAAAATTGTACCTTTAGAAAGAGAGCGGTTTAGCAGTAGGTAGACGCTGAGCAAATGGGAAAAAAAAAAGACATAGTTAGATACAGGGGAAAAATTAAAGCATTGAGCACACAAAAGTGAACATTGTATACTTGTGGTTTATCAGATAACAAAATGAATACAGTATACAAAGTAATAAAGTAAATGTTATTGTATTAAAAAAATTAACCCAAAGTTAGTGATTTTGGTGGCAATAGGAGGGAGGAGATTTTAGAGGTAATGGATCAGGTATCATTATAGATTTTCAGTGACAGAGCACTTGCTTGACTTGCTCAAGGCCTGGGTTTGATTCCCAGCACCACAAAAAGAAAAAAAAAAACGGGGAAAAGGGCATTCATTACTGTCTCAAGAGAGAGGACTATAAACATGGAAATATATTCCAAAACAAACAAGAACTACATTTGAAGCCAGGCAGTGGTGGTGCACACCCTTAATCCTAGCACTCAGAAGGCAGAGGCTGGTGATCTCTGTGAGTTCAAGGACAGCCTGCTCTACAGAGTGAGTTCCAGGACAGTCAGGACTGTTTCACAGAGAAACCCTGTCTCAAAAACAACAACAACGACAAAAGAACTGTATTTGTAAAACTGCACTGGAGTTGTTACTTGTAGGGCTAGATGCAGAGTTTTTAAGAGCAGCACAAGATACCAGTTGTGAACTTCTGATTGCTATTTGACTTGTGACATTCCGTGCTCATTTCAATTGAACAAAAGCTTAAATTAAAGGACTAGAGATGTAGTTCAGTGGTACAGTGCTTGACTAGGGTAAGCAAGGCCCTGGGTTCAATCCCCGGTATCAACAAAATGAACATTAAAGTGTGCCTTCAGATTCAAATGACTTCTGATTTTCCTTTTTTAAATTTTATTTTTATGTATAGGAGTATTTTTGCCTGCATGTATGTATGGATAGCACTTGCATGCCTGGTGGCCAGAGAGATTAAAATAGGGTATCAGATCCCCCTGGGACTGGAGTTACAGACAATTGTGAGCCACCATGCGGGTGCTGGGAACTGAAACCGGGTCTTCTCCAAGACCAGAAAGTGCCCTTAATTGCTGAGCCATCTCTACTGCTCCAACTTCTAATATTATTTTTTAATTTACCTGTATGAGGGTTTTGCCTGCATACTTGTCCGTGCATCACGTACATGCCTTATGCCCAAGGAGGCCAGAAGAGGACATCAGATCCCCTGAAACTGGAGTTACAGACATTGTGAGCCACCACGTGTGTGCTTGGAGTAGAACCGGAGTCCTCAGTAAGAGCAGTCAGTGCTCTTAATCACTAAGCCATCTCTCCAGGCCCATCTACCTTATTGTGACAGGGTCTCTCAGTGAAAATGAAGCTGTTTCGTTAAGACTGACTAAGAGTGAGACCCAGGATCTAACTGTGTGCTTCATAGAGCCGGGGTGACACATGTGAGCCAACAAAGTGACACGGTGATCCCAGCTCAGGTCCTCATGCTTGCACAGCAAGCACTTTGACTGATGAGCCGTCTCCCATTCATATCCAGGGCTTTTTAATGGGAAAGTTGCATTACTTTCTAGACTTTTCAACGTCTGTCAAAATGTCAATTTTTAGGGCAGTCTATAAGACTGTAAACTCTTTGAAGATGTATACAAGTTTTCTTGTTTGTATCTCTATTAGGCACAGCATATCCATGATGCTGTTGAGTAAAGACCCTGTCCACAAAAAAAGAAAAAAGAAAAAAAAAGGCAGAAAGAAAAGAGAGCAAGGAAGGAAGAAAAGAAAAAGAAACTGAAAATGTCTTTCTGGATTTTCCAGTTTCACACTGACCTTGCTAGCATTTCCCTGAGTGCCCTCAAACCTAGGCACTGAGAAGTCTGTGTGACAGCAAATGGAATTCAAAGCCAGGAATAGTGGCTCATGTATACCTTTAATCCCAGCGCTTGGGAAGCAGAGGCAGGTAGATCCTGTGAGTTCAAGGCCAGCTTGGTCTACATAGTTAGTTCCAGGACAGTGAGGGCAACACACACACACACACACACACACACACACACACACACACACACACATATTCTTTTTTGGCTTCAGGGTGGCCAGTGTGTTCTCCCTTCCTGGGGAATGTCCTGAAATGAGAAGGCATCTGTGGAAAGATACTTGGAGCAGGGAGCATGATAGCCACACCACCTGAAGCAGAAGAAACTGTGCACTTTGGTCTTTGTGGTGCTCCCTTCTCAGAGAAGGGAAGCTGGGTCTCCTGAGGCCTGCAGGACCCAGGGTAGATAGGCTTTCTCGGGTGAGGAGCACAGCAGTTGCCTCCACTTCCTCCCCATTCTCCTTCTCATGCCCCCGCAAGAAAGGCAGATAAGAACAGATAAGAAAGTGCCAAATGTTCATTACCCGCCAAAGCATACGCAGTGTCAGACACGAAGGGATTCCACTATCCAGTCAGCCAGGCCACAGATTCTAAGGGCCTCTGTGCACCAGGCAAAATGGATGTGACCCTTGCTCAAAGCAGTTAACAGCTGGGAGAAGACACTTAAAAAGTCATACTCTAAGAAGGGCCTTCTGGTCTCAGATTCCTCCCCACATTCCTCTTATGAGCAACTCACTGTCCACCGGCACCTTCCATCACCACCCTGCAGCCTCAAACACTGGCATCTAGCAGAGGAACATCAGATACATCCCATAAGACAATCAGTTTGGGACACACTATCCTCTCCTCCACCCTTCCCTACCCCAGGTCAAGATCTATTTGGGAGGGAGGGCTGGAGCAGAAATCTTGGAAAAGCACAGCTTTTAGGTCAGCACCAGAGACCAGGACAAAGTCACAGGCCAAGTCCCTCCCTCACCCTTCAACCTCTGATACTGCTGCCCTGTCCTTGGTGCTGGGCACATCATGAATCAATTCAGTCAGTACTGCTGCCCCCTCCCAGTCAAGCAGGGGACACAAAAGTAAGGTGACCTGGGATTTAGCTTCATCCCTCGGAGCAGGGAGTTTTCATCTTTTAGGGTGAGCCGGCAGCTTGGGCCATTGCCTCTCCTTCAGCATAGTGTGCCCTAATCACTTGGGATTTTATTAAAATGCAGAATCTGATGATTCAATAGGTCTGTAGTGGGGCCTGAAATCCTGCATTTCTAGCATTTCCCGAGTAATAAAAGTACACGGAATTCATTTTGAGGAATGGACACTCCCCTTTGCTGAGAAGCTAAGATTAGATTGATCACAATGTGTTCCCTTATCCTTGGCATTGGGAATGGTCTCAAAGATCAGTCCACCTGCTTTCCAAATGCACTCACCTGCCCGCACCCCATGCCATCTCTGCCATCTGCGAGATGCAGGCGGCAGACTTTGTCCAGGCGGCTGTGTGCACAGCTATCCTTGACCCTCCCTCAGGAGAATCTGAGGACTCAGGAGGAGATTCACCCCATGACACTCCCAAGAGCCAAACCTCACCCACCGGCCTTCCCAGTCACTCTCCAAGTTACCAGACAACACGACAAACCCAGAGACAGTTTTCTTTGTTTTTAATTCAACTAGCTTTGGTTGGAAAATAGCATTAACCTGGTAAGTTCTGTGCTTTCCATTGGGGTGGGGCAGCCACAAAGGCCCCATAACCCCGTTCAGTCGGGAGACCCTGGGGCTGCAACTTAGAGAAGTTCTCAGAACCTGGAACAGAGAGCAGCGAGGTGTGTCTGTGTGGGAGGATGCTCAGTAAGAAACCAAGGGCAAACAGGTAAAGCCAGGGTAGGGGACACACTTGTCCAACTTGTCGGTAAATGAAGTGGAAGTAATGAACACGGGAGTCTGACCTCAGAGGTCGAGGAGGTGGCTTGAGACAAAAACTTCCAGACTGGAACTCACGAGGACTCTTGGAGCTAGAGACCCCACTGGTGACCGTCCAGCTCCAGGGCGTGAGACTTGGCACTGTGGGGGTGCATAGATGGGGCATACAAAGAGAGGGAGGGGCGAAGGCCTCATATTGGAGAGGGCGCTTCAGTCCGGTGGTGAGATGGTCTGAGTCTCCCCAGGGATGGGGGAAGGCAAGGAAGGTTTAGCCCGAGGCAAGGCTAGGGGACTCAGCAAAGAGTGCTACGCTGCGTGTGGGCCCCAGAGACAGGCGCGCTCTGCTCGGGTGAGGGCTGGAGGCTCGGCCAGGTGCTCTCTCAGCGGAGAGCGGCTCACAGGTAGCGCTCCAGGCCCGGCGCGAAGCCCGGCTGTCTCAGGTAGGCCTCCCCGGGGCTGAGCGGCCCGAGCGAGCCGGCCGGTCCAGCCAAGGCCAGGAGAGGCTCGGCGGGCAGCGGCGCGGGCAGCCCCAGGCGCTCGGGCGCGGCGGAGTAGAGCGGCGGCGAGGCGGCGGCGCAGGGCGGGAAGGAGGCGTCGGGCACGGCGCAGCAGGGCGGCTCGGACGCCGCGGGCCCCGGTGGCTCCGGCTGGAGACCCAGCAGGCTGTCCAGGCGGAAGAGGCGCGCGGGCGGCGCGGGCGCGGGCGGGAAGGGCGCGTAGGGGAAGGGCGGCGGAGGCGGCGCGGGCAGCTCGGCGCGCTTGAAGCGCTTGCGGCGCCGCAGGAAGCTGCCGTTGTCGAACATGTCGGCGGCCGCGGGGTCGAGCGTCCAGTAGTTGCCCTTGCCCGGGTTGCCCGGCTCGCGCGGCACTTTGACGAAGCAGTCGTTGAGGGTGAGGTTGTGGCGGATGCTGTTCTGCCACTTGCGCGGGCTGTCGCGGTAGAAGGCGAAGCGCTCGGTGATGAAGCGGTAGATGGCGGCCAACGTGAGGCGGCGGCCCGGAGCGTGCGCCAGGGCCATGGCGATGAGCGCGATGTACGAGTAGGGCGGCTTCCCGCGCTGCAGCGGCCGCCGGCGCCTCCTCCCCGGGCCCGGCGCGGCCGTGGGCTCCACGTCCCCGCCGCTCGCCACCTCCTCAGGCTCGCGCCCCGGCTCGGCTCCGGCTAGCGGCGACGGCTGCGGCCCCGACGGCGGGACCGAGGGCAGGGCCGGGAAACCCGAGAAAGCTACGTGCGCGTCCATGTGCGGGGGACCTAGGGATGCGGAGCCCCTGCCCTCGCTCCGGGAGAGCGGGGGTCTCAGGCTAGCCTTATATGGACTCACCTCCCCCCACCTCCCGGGGAAAGGGTCGGACCTGCCCTCTAATTTGCTTTCCCAGCCCCCTCTCGCATCCCACCTCTGTTTCTCCCCCTCCCTTGGTCTAGGCCCTTTGGGTCAACTTACTAAGACCCTGCCTCATGCCTGAGTCAGTCTCGGCCCCATCCCCGCTCGGTGGTATTCGGTAGCATTTCTCCCATTACCCCCGCCCTTTTGGGTCAATCCCAATCACAAATCCACCCATTCAGCACACTCTATTGCCCTCTCCCTATTTTGTGCCTTCTAGCGACCAGATACCCCTCACCCTCCCCTGTGCTTCCATTCTCTGCTCCAACAGTCCTTGCTAGCCCTCAGCACGCTATGCGGCTGATCAGGGAGGCATCGGGCTACCTTCGGACAGTAGAGGACCAGAGCCAGAGTGATAGAAGATAGCACAGAGCCCAGCGGGGCTGCCTTTGTCGCAGGGGAAGGTACTTGGACAGTCTAACTCTTCCCCTGCCGCACCTCCTCCATCCTTATCTACCCCCTACTCCAGCTGGGCCTTGTGAAGTTTCTTTAAAGTAAGAGACCCCCAAAGGCACATACCCCCCAAATGCTTCCACAGAGGGAAGGGCTGAAGGAACAGCTTCTGATGCAAACACTCTCATTAGGGATGGAGAGACAGGAGAGTTTTTGTTAAAATACCATCGTCCACCACCGCACAGAGGGAGCCAAAGGGTGAAGGAGCCTTGTCTTAAAGCAGATAGACGAGATCAGTCGAAGTGGGGGTAGAGCAGGGACCAGAGAGGCAAGTGAACGGTTACTACACCAAGTTCCAGAGGCTTTTACTATCAAGGCCTCTTGAGTATGGTCAGCTCTTGAGGAATTTGGGCCTACAGACTCCATCGCTGACGGAGTATGCGTTATCCCTCTGAAAATGACCAGTGGTCTAGAATGACAGAATCCAAGCTGGAGGGGGGGAGCGGCTCCCCCTTGGCTGTTCTCTCAGCTGTTAACACCACAGCCACCATTGTGTAGTGTCTTGTATTGGTAAATACAGTATTTCACTGGCCTGTAAGCTTCCCCAGGAGGTCCTATTGTCCCCATCTTGAATGAAGGAACCAGTGCTCTGAGAGGTGAAGTGATATGCCTCGCCTCACACAGCTAGTAGTGGCAGGACAGGACGGGAATGAAATCTGAACATAGCCTCGTCCCCGCTCTTAACACCAGCCCTTTCAACGGAAGCTTTAGTTGAGTGTGATGGCACACACATGATCCCAGCACCGAGACACTGAGGCCACGGGGGCGGGGGGGGGGGCGGGGGTACGACAACACACATGACTCTGCAGGGCCTCAGTAGCGCCAGCACTTGAGGCAGAAACAAGAGAATCCTCAGAAGCCTAGGTCAGCTAGCCCACAGGAGGCAGTAGTGAGCAACAGACCCTGTAGAAGGTGAGGACTAACACCAGAGATTGTCCTCTGACCGCCACACATGGGTGTCCCCTAAGCACACACACCCCTACCCATATGCACATATTTACATAATATACACACACAAAGGAGAAAAGAAAGACCAGAAATAAATTACAGTTTGCCTCCCTTTAGCTGTCAAAGTTACTCCCCTCCCATTCTCTCTCCTGAAGAGTCTCTCCTGGTCAACAGATACAGGTGCCCACTGGACATCACCACACAGATGTCTCAAAACATCTGAATTCCATGTTCTAAATGAACACAGACAGAGAGAGAGAGGGAGAGGGAGAGACCCAGCCTGCTTTCCTGTCAGCATTCCAGATCTTGACAAGTTGACATCACTTCTCTGAGTGAGTCCCTACACCCAGGCCATTGCCACACCCTGTCAAGGCCACACAAATCCTAAATCAATTTCTCCAGATCCAGTTCTGGGCTCAGTTCGGCCTGCCTCATTCACCAAGAGCTTCTGAGCCAGGCCTTTTGCCAATGCTCAGGGCAAGAGAGAGATGAGACAGTGTGGTGGAGAGACGGACGATCACACACTGAGAGGTGGATGGGGGGGGGGAAGGACTGAGGAAGCAGAAGGAAAAAAGAAGCCGGTCTAGAGACAACAAACAAAACAAGGACGATCGCGTCAGAACAGGCCCTGCTCTTTGTGCCCTCTCTCCCTTTCATCCTGTGTCAGCACAGGCCGCCTGGAACACAAGTGTAGTCACATCGCACAGCTCACCACAGGAAAGAGGAAGACAAGCCTCCGTGGCAGCCAAGCATGGCCCAGAGCCACGTGAGCAAGGCCACCTCTTGTGCGAGCCTGTTTCTTCACCTGCCAAGTGGAAGCAGTGGTCCCTCCACAGCAAGGGACTCCGTAGAGGGCCTGACCTGCTGTGTATCATTGTGATGAGCATGTTTTGTTTGTTTTTTTTTTCCTGTGTTAACTAAGGGGACAGGAGAGAGACTGCAGGCCACCTTCCCAACCAGGTACAGTGTTATCTGCAGCTGGACTCAAACACAGAACCAGTATCGATGGAGACTTCGCCTTTCTTACCTTCCCTCAGGGATGAACCTCTCCAGCAAAGCCCCTGCCACAGCCTCTGTCATACCTCCAAGGAGGAAATTGGCTGCTATCGCATCCTATGGCTGACTGCAGGTTTTTTGAAGATATCTCTGATTTTCCAGGTCATGTGTATAGTCTGGGACATAATATATGTTCAATAAATGATTCCCAGTGTGTGGTTGGCTATGCTAATTCTGAGAAGGATGGGTGAGAACCCAGACTTTGCCAGTTCTTTGTGCCTGCCTACCCCCTCTCCATTGGGCCTGCTTCCCAGAGTGGAGCAAGCTGGTGTCAGGGGGCGGCCCAAGGGCTAATCCGTGTTTTCAGCGTGGCTGGGCCCTCTTTTCACAGGCCCTGGGCCGGACGTGATGCGGCTGAGCATCCGGGCATAAGACGGCCGGTGAAGGTGGCCCCTTTCTCATGGGCCTGGATTCCAGGCGGCCCAGCGTCTGAGTGGAGCCCCTGGGGCGGGAGGAACACAGTAGCTGGGATGGGCAGTCCTTTGTCTGACCACACTGGGTGGATATTCGGACTGGCAGGAGGGATTAATGGCCAGGGATTGGCCCTGGGGCCGGCCTTCCCACTGCCCTTTGGAGGCCAAAGGCCCAGGTCAGGGCACACAACGTTGATGGCTCTCTAGATAGGAGTGGAAATTCCCACCCTTGTCCAGAACTGTTTGCTCTAGTCTCCAAGAGCCTCTGCCCCAGCCCTGACTTTAAGAGTCACCCCTAGCTCAGATAGACTTGAAGGCAAGGAATGGAAGGTGCTAGCAAAACTTAGCAAGCACTCTTTAAGAGAGAGGGCTGTGTCTGAAAGTCATTTCAGGTCCTTCCCCCAAGATCCTCAGCCATAACTGCCCATCCAGAGCTCTGGAAATAGCTATATTAGCCCAGAGAGATCCCAAGAGCCCAGTCTGAGCTATCTCCAGACATGCTCTCCCAGGGCCTCCCAGAAGACCTCTGGTTTGAGATCATCTGCTATTTATTTTAAAGCTCTCTATCAAAGCCTGGAGATAGCCCATAGCTCAGGGGCAGCAGCAAATCCAAAGCATTCTCAAACCATCCCTAGCTAAGAGCTATGCAAGATGTGGCTCATTCCTCTGACTGGCAGCTGGGGGCCAAGTGGTGACACCCTTTCTGACCAGACTGCTCCTGCACCAGGACTGAGAGCAGTATGCCAGGTGTTACCTCCAGGCCTGGTTCCTGAAAGGCCGAGCTGGCTCTGATGAGCAGCAGTGCAGATGTGCCCGGCAGGAGCACAGGGTGGGGCGTGCGGAGGTGGGAAGAAGCCTGTCTTTGCAGTTCCTCACTCCTCAGGCCGTCATTCCACACAGCACACGGGTGCATGTCCAGGCTGCCTGGGCGCTGGGCCCCAGTGAGGAGTTAGACTTCCATCTGATTCACTATACCAAGGAAGAGGTAGCCAGGCAGATGGTCTCTGTACTCAGTGGTCAATATATATGAATCTGGGATAGTAGGGGCAGCAGGAATACAGAAGAGGAATCTGACTAGGCCTGGCTGATTCAGGCTTCCTGGGAGGGTGAAACTCCAGTGACTAGGTGGGGAAGAGTGGAGGTTGGATTAGAAGATCACCCTCACACCCCATAGCATCTCTGTCACTGCACTTACTCGCTGTGTTGGTCTCCCTCACTGGACCAAGGGGTGACCTTTGCACATCTCATATTTGGGTCCTGGCAATTAGCCAAGTACCTAGCAGGAGTAGCTGGTCAATAGATGCCTGTTGGATGGCAGGCCCAGGCTGAGTATTGAGGTCTGGAAGCAAGAGCATATGGCCCATCCTGGGAATTGAAAGGCCTGATGTTTTCCTGAGTATCACAAGAACTGCCAAAGGTGTGTGTTCTTACAGCACAGCTTACATGCTCTAGGGCTGGGTGGCCATTGCCTGTTACTATTATTCCTCATGATGGCTGGTATCCAGGGTTATGGGACTGAGACAAAAGAGGCAGACAGGTCAAGTTGTAGCTGACTTTTTGCTCTGTTAAGAGAACTTTTGAAAAGGTCTCAGCAAGTAGTGACCAGCACTTGTATTTGGCTCCCTTAGTGTCTGGAGGGTTGGGCTTGAAAATGGAGACCTGCCCTGCGGGGCAGTAGGGGAAACACTTTGTCCCCATTGGCTCATTTGATAGCTTACACACAGCCGGGTACACAGTCCAGAAGTGACCAGCATCCTCGCTCCTTTCCTCCTCCTCCTCCAGCCGTGTCCTCTGACTGAGATTTGTCACCTCTCAGAGCTTTCTCTCAAACTCTTCCTGTGTCCGTTTGCATTTCAGCATCTGTCTCCCTCTCAGCATTTCCTCTGCCTGCCACCGGACCGCTTTGCTGGTCTGTCTGCCTTCCTTCTCTTCCAAGAAGGGAGAGCCATACCTCAACTGTTTGCATAAACATCTGCAGTGGGTCCCTCCCTCTCTCGGAGTTCCACCAGGTAAGGATTCCACAGGAT